TTAAAATTTTTTTTTATAATGCCTAAGCGGCTCATAAGGTAAGATACGTCTATTAAAATCAACCAGACAAATCCTTATTTGAGTTTCTTGTATTTACATTCTTCAGGAGTGATACTGTCAGGATGCTAACCCAGATGGATAATTGACAGTCTTGATGAGTCATATGTAACTATCAGCAATTATTTATATTAACTATTTTAAAAATAAAGGCAGTGTTTACTGATAAAGATGGTAATCTAGAACATATATGCTATGATATAATGTATAATATGATGTAATATGATATTTTTATAGTTATAAAATCTTACAGAGTTGATGTTATTTAATTGGCCTCTTCAGAAGGGTATTTATGTTTTACTAACTGTTGATAGCTTGTATTGGGCCAGCTATTCTCTCTTACCTATCTTAAGACTTCTAGTAGTAAGATTGTTCCTCAAGACTGGGGAAACCATGAGGTATTGTTTTTTCTCTGGGAAGCTAATAGTTTCATTCACATAAAATCAGTCCTATTGAAATAGTACTGATTTTATCCTCCAGAGTAATAGTGGAGGAGAACAAATGATAGCATGTCAATTGTAATACATAATTTTCAAATATATTTTGACTTCTACTTTTAACACTCTTCCAGATCATGCTTTTTGCCTAAACTTTTAGAAAGTAGCAGAACTTAAGCTTTGGTTATCTCTGACATGTATCCTCAAATATTTTATAAGTAGTAAATTGACAACCTAACAATTAAATGGGGGAAAAAGAAATATTACCATAAATATTGAGTGATATTCAAAACTTGGCTACTTTCATGACAGAATTTATAACCTGACTACTGTTACAGTTTGTTTATCTGTATGCAGCTGTCTCTCACTATATTATGAGCCCTAATGTTTTATTTTTCTATTATTTCGGTATATATGTGCTTTTAATTATTTTATTTTTAATTGACAATAATTGTATAGATTTATGAGATACAGTTTGATGTTTTGATATATTGTATACATTGTGGAATGATTAAATCAAGCAAGCTAACATATCTACCACTTCACATACATATTTTTTAGTGTTGCAAACTTTTAAAACCTACTGTTAGCAATTTGAAATATATGTTACATTATTATTAACTGTAGTCCCCTTGCTGCGGAATGGATCTCAAAGACCTATTTCTCCTAATGGCAACTGTACACTTTGACGAACTTCCTGCCATCTCCCTACCCTGCCTACCCCACTTTCTGATTGCCCTTCCCTCTGGTAACCTGTAAACCAGAAATCATGCTTCTCTCTACTTCTATGAGTGTGACTTTTTTAGATTCCCCATATAAGTGAGATTATGCAGTATTTGACTTTCTGTGCCTAACTAGTGTCACCTAGCATAATGTCCTCAAGGTTCATCCTTGTTGCGAATGACAGAATTTCTTTCTTTTATAGGGCTGAATGGTATTCCATTGTGTATATACACATTTTCTTTGTCCATTCAAAGGTTGATCCCATATTTTGGCTATTGTGAATAATGCTGCAGTGAACATAGGAGTGCAGATACCTCTTTGAGATACTGATTTTTTTTAACTTTTATTATTTTTTCTGAGATGGAGTTTTTGCTCTGTCACCCAGGCTGGAATGCAGCAGCGTGATCTTGGCTCAGGGCAACCTCTGCCTTCCAGGTTCAAGTGATTCTCCTGTCTCAGCATCCCAAGTAGCTAGGATTACAGGTGTGCACTACCATGCTCAGCTAATTTTTGTATTTTTAATAGAGATGGGGTTTCACCACCTTGACCAGGCTGGTCTCGATCTCTGACTTCAAGTGACCTGCCTCAGCCTCCTAAAGTGCTAGGATTACAGATGTGAGCCACTGCCCCTGGCCTGATACTGATTTCAATTCTTTTGGTTATGCACCCAGAATTGAGATCGCTGGGATCATATAGTAGTTCCATTTTTAGTTTTTTGAGGAACCTCCATCCTGTTTTCCGTAATGGCTGTACTAATTTACATTGCCAACAGCGTGCAAGGGTTCCCTTTCTCCACAGCCTCGCTAACACTTATCTGTGTCATTTAGATAATAGCCATTCTAACAGCTGTGAGGGGATACCTCATTGGATTTTTAATTTGCATTTCCCTGATGATTCGTGATGTTAAGCTTTGCTTATTCCTGATCTGTATACCTGTTGGACATTTGTGTGTCTTCTTTTGAGAAATACCTATTCAGGTCCTTTGCCTACTTTTTAATTGAGTTACTTGTTTTTTTGCTATTGAGTTCCTTATATATTTTGGATACTAACTTCTTATTATATTTATTAGATATATATCAGCAAATATTTTCTCCCAATCTATAACTTGCCTCTTCATTCTGTTAGTTGTTCCCTTGCTGTGCAGAAGCTTTTTAGTTTCATGCAGTTCTGTTTGTCTACTATGGCTTTTGTTGCCTCTGTTTTTGGGGTTATATTTTTAAAAATCATGATCTAGACCAATGCCATGGAGCTATTTATATTCTTGATTGCCTAGCTCTAGTATAGTGCCTCACAGAGTAGGAACTTTTACATGTTTATAGAATTTGGTTCTGTAAACATCGTTTTAAGACTACATTAACAGTTTTAAAATATAAATGTGCCATTCATTAAATTCTCTCTTCTTGCAAAGTAACTGGTTCCCTGGCATTTGTATAAAGTGAGTAGTTTATTGTCTTCTATTAGTTACTTTCTCTGTAACTTGCCTTTAACCTTTCATCATTTTTATTTTTATTTTTAAAACAGAGTCAGGGTTTCATTATTGCCCAGTCTGGCCTCAAGTGTTCTGCCCCCACTGTCTCCCAAAGTGCTGCCCGCCTCAGCTTTCCAAAGATTACAGGCGTGAGCCACTGCACTCAGACCTGCCATTTAACTAAACTTTTATTTTATGTTTAACTCTATGTAGAATGAAATAGAATTAGTGGAAGTAAATACAAAAAAAAAATGTTTGTATTTTTTGGTAGAGCAGGGCATGGTTAGTGGCATACACCCTGTCGTCCCAGCTACTTGGAAGGCTAAGGTAGGAGAACAGCTTGAACCCAGAAGGCAGAGGGTGTAGTGAGCCGACATTTCGCCACTGTACTCCAACCTGGGTGATGGAGTGAGACCCTGTCTCAAAAAAAAATAAATAAATAAAAAATAAAAAAAATAATGCTCTCATTTATGCTACCTCCTTCCTTTCTACCCCTACTGTTGCAGCTTTAATTCAGATCCTCGTCGTCTTTTATTTAGATTATTCTTCAGTCTTTCTAAGTGGCTTTGCTATGTTAGTTATCAGGCTTTTTCCAGTTTATCCTCCACACAGTGAATATCTGCTTATGACATTCCCTTTCCTAAAACCTGTTAATGCCTGCAGGGTAAAATCTGGGTGTCTCAATTTGCCCACCTGTCCAACCTCATTTTTCACCATGTCCCTTTACACTTTAGTAATACTGCACTATCTGTGGTTTTACACCCCGCCCCACAGACTAAAACTTTTTCACTCCTTACATTTTTGCGTGTATGTTCCAGTGGTCTAGAATACTTTTCTCCCATAATCTCTTTAGAAATTTTTTTCATCTTTAAAGACCCTATAGGACCCATAACTTCTCTGCATAACTTTACATGAGATGTTCCCCACGTCCTCTGATAGTCATTTCCTCCTTTGTCCTTTTCTGAACGTGGTACTTCTTGTATGTATAACACAGCATTAGAAATGTTATAATTTATTTGCATATCTATCTCTCCTATTAGATTTGAGAACAGCTATCTTTTGTTTATCTTCATGAGGTAGGGAATTTTCATCATAGCCCAGAGCCCAGCACATATATAGGTGCTCAATAAATATTAAACTGAATTATTCGATTAAAAGGAAATTAATGATTGGATGACAGTTACATTAGGACAGCCTAGGTTATGCTGCAGCAACGAAAATTTCCCAAATCTCAGTGAATGAACACATTTTATTTCTCACACAGAAGCCCACAATAGGTTTAGTACTCAGAGATCCAAGCTATTTGCATTTGTGATTCTAACTTTTCAACATGTTGTCTTCCATGTCACCATGGGAAGGAAGTTTGCACAATTGGCTTATAAGGGCTTTAGACTCAAAGCAGCACATGTCACTTCCATTCACAGTCCAATGCCCAAAACTGGTCATATGGCCCTGCCTAACTGCAAGTGGGTGTACAGGACAGCACATGGATATTTGATGAGCAGTAACTGTTTTCTGCCTCACCAACTATAAAAGATCCATTTCTAATCATGACATATAAGAGACTAAACAAATATAACACATTGTTTTGATCTTCAAGAGTTTATAATCTCATTGGGAAAAGAGAAGACACACGATATACAACATGAGAATTATTCCTATCAAAAATTACAACAGGAGGCTGGACGTGGTGGCTCATGCCTATAATCCCAGCATTTTGGGAGGCTGAGGTGGGCAGATTGTGAGGTTAGGAGATTGAGATCATCCTGGCTAACACGGTGAAACCCCGTCTCAACTAAAAATACAAAACTTAGCAGGGCATGGTGGTGCATGCCTGTAATCGCAGCTACTTGGGAGGCTGAGGGAGGAGAATCATTTGAACTTGGGAGGCGGAGGCCGCAGTGAGCCGAGATTGTGCCACTGCACTCCAGCCTGGGAGACAGAGTGAAACTGCCTCAGAAAAAAAAATCATGACAGGAATACTCTCCATTACCTGGATCCTTTTTTAGTTACCGGCAATGAGCTTGTTCAGACTATATCATCTTGAGAATTGTTCTAGACTAGAAAACTAAAGTGCTGAGGTTTTGTAAAACAGACTACTGGAAAAAGGACATTATACCTAGATTTTGAGGGACAAGACTTATTTGATGTTGAATTTTAGAATTCTGGATGGTTAGGCAGTATCTTCCTATTTGGACCTTTAATTAACAATAAAAACTGCTTTTGTAATAGTTGGGGTTTTTTAAGGTATTGTCTTATAGTACTCTAATAATACGTTTTGTAATGATAAGTTTTCAGTTTTCCTTTCCTAACAGGGACATTTTTGAAGAAGATAATTACAGCCCCATCCCTATTGTCAATGAAGAAGAATATAAAATTGTCATCAGCAAGTTTCCCTTTCAAGATCCAGACCTTGAAAAGGTACAGCTAGTTTTTAATTCAAGGATTTTCTTAAAAATAAATTCATTGTATTTATTACTATATAACATTAAATATTAAGCTGAAACTGTAAATAAGAGTAGTTTCTTTGGGGGCAGTTTTTGTTGTGTTATTTGAGAAAATTAATTATGTTTTGTTATGTTTTGAAGAGTATGTTATTACTACTGCTACTGTGATTCTGATGAAGTTAAGAAGGGCCTTTCCTGGGGATACTAGAAGCAGTTGCCTCAAATGTTAGGTGGATTCCCAGGAGAGGTGTTACTAATGTTGAGTGGATTCCAATGAAAAAGTAGATTTATAGTAATAAGAGTATATCCTAGGGAAAGAGAGGAGAATTTCTTTGAAACGTTTGTCACTGTGGAAGATTTTAAAAGAAGTATACTTAAACAAAAAGTTTATCTTGGTTAAATATGATTTGTGAAGGCAGTAGCTACCTATAGATTTCTTCCTGAAGTAGGAATATATACATTTTTGGAGTCAAGATATCTGAACAAAAGACAGGGTAGAGAAAGGAAGTAGACCACCCGTGTAGGAGATTCTCACAATGCACATGAATGCATGTGTGTGTGCATATACGTACAAACATACACACTTGTACCTATCCAGTATCTTTGGGTAGAATTAGATCTCATTAGAAAAAGATGTCATACTTCCTGTAACTGTCACTTTTGTATACTTTCTATTCTTGTTTTTTTCTCATTACTCTTATTATTTTCTCAACTTTTATAATTTAGTACTTTTCTACATTTGTATCACTTCAAGCATGAGCAAGACCAAATTCTGAGTGAATTGTAACTGTAAATTTGTGTTATATTTTTATACATAAACTAAGCATATTATTTGTACTACTCACTAAATACAGAACCAGGTAATTAAATGGATAACTTCTAGATTGTAGCTAATGCTGCCATTGCATATACCTGTTAGCCATGTTTTAATACAACAGGCCAGAATAATTGTTGTAATTCTGTATTTTTTGAAAGCCCAGTGAAAGTTGGTCTGTCAAGAAATATCACCAGAATATTCTCCATCTCATGGCTTAGTTTTGTTTTAGTTACTGGTAATGCATTTGTTCAGGCTAGTGTCTGTGTAAGAGCACTAGACTAGGTCTAGATTCATGTGCTAGCTCTGTTTTTGGATGATGATGATGATTATTATTATTATTATTATTATTTTGAGACAGAGTTTTGCCGTTGTTGCCCAGGCTGGAGTGCAATGGCACAATCTCAGCTCACTGCAACTTCCCCCTCGTAGATTCGAGGGATTCTCCTGCCCCAGCCACCCGAGTAACTGGGATTATAGGCGTGCACCACCATGTCTGGCTAATTTTGTATTTTTTTTTTTTTTTTTTTTTTTTTTTTACTAGAGACAGGATTTCACCATGTTAGTCAGGCTGGTCTCAAACTCCTGACCTAAGGTGATCCGCCTGCCTTGGCCTCACAAAAGTGCTGGGATTACAGGCATGAACCATTGCACCGACCGCTTGTGGCTTATTATAGGCAAACGACTGAGCCTCCGTGTGCATTTGTGCCTCATCTGTCAAATGAGGAGGTTGAACTCAATAATCTCTAATATCTCTTCCAATCATATTAAACATTCTAAATAGACTTAGAATTAAAAGGAAGTTTAACTTTGCTTATAGAGAGTTTCTAATATATGCAGTACCTCTTAAGATTACGTTCTTAGGAGTTGTATTCATTGGTCTATGTATTACTCATTATTAAAAAGAACTGTTTATAGTCACGTGGAAAATTGAAATATGACAACTCTAAAATAAATCTCAAATTATTTAATAAAGTCTTTTGGTTGTGTGTGTATATTTTTTCCTAGTTTAAGTATAATTTTCAATTAAATCTGTTAGAAAATATATGCAACTATCTCTCAACTTGAGTTATTTTCAACATAAATTATGAATGAAGGAGTAGTAGTAAACATACATGCAAAAATATTTTTGTAGGTAGCTATGTTAACTTTATTAGAATCATTTGGCCGAAATAAGAACATATGTGTATTCTGCCTTTAATGTCATTAAAATAATTTTGAATATTTTTCGTCTACCTACTATATATCCAACATAGTGCTATGTGCTACATTTTCAGTCTTTGCTGTCAAGGTGCAAAGACCTTTTTGCAGCCTTCTGTGAATTACAATTTCTTATTTATTTTATCTACCCTCAGACTAACGTCTGTATAAAGAGCACTAGACTAGGACTAGATTCATGTGCTAGCTCTGCTTGTGGCTTATTTATTTATTTATTTGAGACGGAGTTTCAAAAAAACTCTGTAGGTAGGTAGATAAAATAAGAAATTATTTATTTTAGATAAAATAAGAGGGTAGATAAATAGGAAATTGTAATTCACAGAAGTTTGCACTGCTTAAGATAGGGGATACAGCATGCAAAAAGTCTGTGTAAAGAAGGTCAAAGTGGTTGAAGTACAAGAGATGAAGCTCAAGGGATGTAAATTGGAGAAGTAGAAAGGGCCAGACCATAATGGCCCTACTAAACAGTGTTAGAGAGTTTATCCTTTTTCCTGAGGGTTATAGGAAGCCATGAAAGAATTTTAAGTGGTAAAAACATAAGATTTGTGGTTTAGGAAGATCTCTCTGGCTAATATATGGAGAATGGATTGGAAAAGAGTAGGACTGGTGACAGGGAGACCACCTAGAAGACTTTTGCATTTATCTTGATAAGAGAAGAGGGTTATGTAACCTGAATGGGGGTTATGGTCATTGAAGCTGATTTGAGTTGCTTAGGAGGTGGGAGCAACAGGAGTTGGTGATTATGTGCATATGAAGGGTAACGGAGATAACCAAGTTTCTACCTTAGATGGTGGCAGCATTCACTGTGATAAGAAACACAAGAGGAGCAGATTTAGAAGAAAATGATGATAATTTAACTTTTGGACCTATTGAGTGTGTCTCAAATGGTACAGCCAAATGGAACTGTCCAATAGGCAGATATATGAATTTGGACTTCCAAGAGAAAGATTTGGTCTGGAGTTGTAGAGTTGGAGATATTGGTACTTGCAGGATGATTGAAGTCATAAGACTATATGAGATCATCCAAAGAAAGTATACATAGTAGCAAGAGAGGGTTTAGGACAGAACCCTAAAGCATAGTTAAGCAATAATTAAGTAATGGCTAAAGCAATAATTAAAGTAATGGCTAGAGGAAGAGAAATAGAGTAGGTAGAGAAAAAGGAGGAAAACCATTTTGGGCAGGAGTCCAAGGAAGGAGAGATCATTAATTAAATAGGAGTGGGTCAGCTGTGTCAGATTCTTCAAAAAAAGTCAGGTAACATGAGAGCTGAAGAAATCACTGGATTGAACAACTGTGAGATCATTGGTGATCTTGGTGACGGTACTTTCACTGATATAAAAGGTTGCAATGAAGATGAAGATAGAGGATTATAGTAGACTTAATAAAACAGAAAAGAGGGGTGTTTTTTGTAACTATCTTGGAAGAAGTTTACCTTTTAGAGACTGAGAATTTCAAATGGATAATAACTTACAGAGTAGTTTAGCCAGGAAGCACCATATAAGCCATTGGCTGCATACCAGTGTTTAATGGCATAGAGGTCAGAAACATGCCATAAGGTGTTCTAGGAGTTATGGAATAAACTCGATAACTTCTTCAATTGGCATCAAGCCTTCACTGAAGGTAAATGAAGTGAGTCGTAGAATTATTTAATGACTCTGAGCCAGAAAGCTAGCTTGTAATTTTCATGGCCACTCTGACTCTCGTATGATACATACACAAAGAAGCAGACAGCTAGGCATCTCCTGTAGACAGAGTGCTTATCATCAGAATACACCAAAGGTATTGTTATGTATTTTCTCTGCTTGTTGGAAGTCTGATAATATGATTTAAGAAACAAGGGTAAAGTGCCACATTATTTTCTTCAGAAATATTTTGATAAAATATCAAAAATGTAGAAACGTTAACATTAGAGTTTTTGATGCAGGTATTCACTATTCCAGTGTGAAATCAATTTAATTTTACATATTTGGTGATTAGCATGTCTTTTTCTAAAATTTCAAAAACAATATTACCTTTGTCTTTCTACAGCAATCTTTCCCAAAGAAATTCCCCATGTCTCAGTCAGTGCCTCATATTTACATTCAAGTTAAAGAATTTATTTATGCCAGCCTTAAATTTTCAGAGTCACTACACCGGAGGTAAGTTTACTAACCACAAATGCATTTTTATCATAACTGTTTATGAAACATTAATACTTTATTTTTATGCCATGACTTTTTTTTTCCCATCAACTTTTATTTTTGATTCATGGGGTACATGTTTGTTACACGGGCATATTGTGTAAGCTAAGGTTTGGGGTATGATTGAACCTGTCACCCAGGTAGTGAGCATAGTACCCAACAGGTAGCTTTTCAGTCCCTGCCTCCCCTTCTTGTAGTCCCCAGCATCTGTTGTTTCCATCATTACATCCATGTGTACCTAGTGTTTAGCTCCCACTTATAAGTGAAAACATGCAGTATTTGGTTTTCTGCTTCTGCATTAGTTTGCTTAGGATAATAGCCTCCAGCTGCATTCATGTTGCTGCAAAGGACATGATTTTGTTCTTTTTTATGGCTGTGTAGCATTCCATGGTGTTTATGTACACATTTTCTTTATCCAGTCCAACACTGATAGACACCTAGGTTGATTCTCTGTCTTTGCCATTGTTAATAGTGCTATAATGAACATATGGGTACATGTGTCTTTTGGTAGAATTATTTATTTTCCTTTGGGTATATCCCAGTGGGATTGCTGGGTTGAATGGTAGTTCTTTTTGTTTTTGTTTTGTTTTGAGACAGGATCTCACTCTGTTGCCCAGTCTGGAATACAGTGGCACAGTTATGGCTCACTGCACCCTAGAACTCCTGGGCTCAAGTGAGTCTCCCAACTAGCTGGAACCACAGGTGCATGCTACTATGCCCGGCAAATTTTTGTATTTTTAGTGGAGACAAGGTTTTGCCATGTTGGTCAAGCTGGTTTTGAACTCCTGACCTCAAGCAATCTACCCACCTCGGCCTCCCAAAGTGCTGGGATTATAGGCACATGCCACTGTGCCTGGCCCACAAATTTTTAAAAGTAGTATTTTAATAAAAAGTAAAGGGATGCAAAAATGTTAGCCTATGTCTAAGGCAATAGTTCTCACCTGGGGATAATTTTGGTTTTCCTGCTACCACTTCCTCCCCACAAATTTGGCAATGTCTAGAAACATCTTTGATTGTTACAGTTCCCAGGAGGGGTGCTACTTGGAATAGTGGGTAGAGGCCAGGGGTGCTGCCAAACATCCAAATGTGCAGGACAGTTTCCACAGCAAAGAAGTATTCATCCTGAAATGCCAGTAGTGCTGAGATGGATGATCCATGGTCTAAGGACAGTTTAATGGTTGTGATAATGAGGCTGTATCCAAGAAACCATTACAGTATTTCCTTAAATTGAAGGCTTAATGGTTAGGAGAAAAGAATCTGTTTTTTAGTGTTAGCTTAGCAATGCTTAGGATGTTAAGAAAATCATAGATTTTTTTTTTGCATTACATTAAAATTGGTTTAAGGTAATTTATTTCTTTGAAGACAAAAAATCTTAATTAAAATGGATAACTTGGTTATATTAACAATTAAATTGGGTAATTATATCTAGAAAGAGCTCATATCAATTTGTAATTTTTAGCTGTAGTTGTATATGAAGTTTCTTTCAAAGTGACTGTCTTTTGGGGCTGGGCGCGGTGGCTCACGTCTGTAATCCCAGCACTTTGGGAGGCCAAAGTGGGAGAATCACTTGGGTCGAGGAATTTGAGATCAGCCTGGGCAAATAGCACAACCCTATCTCTATAAAATATTTGAAAACTAGCTGGGCATGGTGGCATACAGTGGTAGTCCCAGCTACTCAGAATGCTGAGGTGTCAGAATCGCCTGCGCCCAGGACTTTGAGGCTACAGTGAGCTATAATTACACCACTACACTCCAGCCTGGGTGACAGAGGCAGACTCTGGCTCAGAAACAATAATAATAAATAAATAAAACAAAACAACAAAGTGACTATCCCATGATGGAGTTGGAATTTAGTAATAGTTTTATTTCCTTATACCAAGTGCTCCATGATTTTTCTGTAGTTGTTAATTGGATACATTTAAATTATGCCATAAATGAATATTCTACTTTGTGGAAAATGTCCCTTTTGCAAAGTTAAATTGAAGTTTGTGATTTAATAAATATGGGTCATTGTAGTTTATTTAAAGATATAAACTAATCACTTGGGACAAATTGTTTTAGCAAATTGTGTTAAATTATTTAGGATGTTAACTGCATGCTTGTAGAAAGTTTAATAATATCAATCTTTGTTTTTAGCTCAACAGAAATAGATGATATGCTTAGAAAATCAACAAATCTGTTGCTGACCAGAACTTTGAGTAGCTGTTTACTGAACCTGATTAGAAAACCTCATATTGGTTTGACAGAGGTAGGTTAAAAAGACAAAGATAGTGAAATGTTTCATTGTATGAAACAATTTAAATTATTGCTGAACATCATTCTGTAAAACTAACTTCCTGTTTTAAGTGTATTAATATAAGAAGATTTGTTTTCAAAATAAAAACACCAGTATAAATTCCGGAAATGTGAGGAAGCCAGGCACAGTGGCTCACACCTATAATCTGAGAACCTTGGGAGGCCAAGGTGGGAGGATTGCTTGAGGTCAGGAGTTTGAGACCAGCCTGGGCAATATAGTGAGACCCTGTCTCTACAGAAAATGAATAATATTGGCCAGGCATGGTCCTGAGCACCTGTAGTCCTAGCTAGTCCGGACTTGAGCCCAGGAGGTTGAGGCTGCAGTGAGTTACAGTCATACCACAGCACTACAGCCTAAGTGACAGCAAGACCCTGTCTCTGGAAAACAGACGTGAGGGAAAAGGGTTCACATGGGGAATAATAGATGGTTGAAGATGTTAGAACATCTATTTAGATTTCTGATTGCCAGGCTACATGAAAAGTCAAAATCCTAATTTTTTATTTGCTAAATGTTTAAAATTTGAAACATATTATGAAAAGTTAGTTTAAAGTAACTGGCAGTTAGACTCTTGATGTGTGTGTGTGTATATATATAATCATTCATAAGCAGTATTTACAGCAGGCTTTTAAAATCAGATAGTTGTATCCTGTAATGCTGTAATTATGTAGAAATGGTACAGTTGCTGGAAGTAATAATCCTGTTTTTAAAAATTAGGCGATTTTATATACACGTATCCTGTATTTTACTGGATATATTTTGTGTTTTGTAGCTGGTGCAAATCATCATAAACACAACACACCTGGAACAAGCTTGTAAATATCTTGAGGACTTTATAACTAACATTACAAATATTTCTCAAGAAACTGTTCATACTACAAGACTTTATGGACTTTCTACTTTTAAGGTATGTAAACATTTGACCAAAAGTTTTCATTTCCGTCACTGTAAGCAAATGTTAAGAAATTAAAGACTGTTTTTATTACATGCAAGATCTATTATATTCTTAAAAATTAAGAATTAAAGATAATCATTGTCAACAATCAGCAGATAAATGCCATTTTCTTTTTGGCATTGTAAACATCTTATTAAAATGGAAAAAAGTATACGTATTTTCTACAGTGTATATACGGTTTGTTCATGTTTTGATGATTTATGGTGGTGCTGAATAGGTCTATCTGAATTAATATTTCACATTTTAAAAATTAAGTTTATGTGAGTGTTTATGTCTAGAAATTTAAAATGTAAGACAAATACAGATAGACTTGTTTTCCCTTCTTGACTGGTTCTGATCTAAAGAAAAATAAATATTACATGTCATTGAAGTCCTACCTCTTTTGCAGATAGAAAGATTTCTGTTTGAATAACGTATGGGATATACTGAGGATTAATTAATGGTTGTTTTAGGCAGAATGTAAGATTAAATAATTTCATAAGCTAGTTTATTATTTTATTGATTTGGAGTCATAGATGAGACATTGGCTTAGTCTAGTGTATATAAATCCCCTTACATTGAATATTTTGTTAAACTAATGATAAACCACATACTGATCACTTATCTGTAAAATGGGCTTGCTGATTTAACCTTATAGCGCTAAGGTTCCTATTAAAAAGAATTCTCTTTAACTACTTTTGTTATATTATCAATCACCCCCTAAGATTATATTGTAATAATTTGCATTTTAAAAAATGAATGTACTTGTGTTTAAAAATAACTAATTTAATGTTAACATTTAACCGTACTTTGAATGTGTGAAGTCCAGAAACAACCCTGGGATCCTGGAATTATCTGCTTGGCCCCTAAATGTTATGCTCCTCTGGTGACTCTTGAGCTCATATAGTCATTTCAATACATAAGACACAAATACAGAATATCTGAATCAGCAGACTTATAAAATTAGATATTAAAACTTAGAAGCCTAAAAAAGCAAGCATTCATTTATTCAGACACTATAGTTCAGTGATTAAATGCAGATACTCTGAAGTTAGATTGCCCTGGGACCTTGGGCAAGTTCTTTAATAGAAATGATCCCAGTTTCTTTATCTATAAAATAAGAGTAACAATACAGTACCTCATATGATTATTATGAGGATTAAAGAAGACACTTAGTACAGAGCCATTCATTGTACATAAATCATGCTCTGACCACTCTGTTTGGACCCTGAGAATACAGAAATGTATCCCTGTCCTCAAGAAGCTCAGAGGAGGAAAAAAATAATAAAAGACACTTAACAATATGGTGTGATAAGTATGATAATATAGGAGGAGACGCTACAAGTTTTTAGTCACTTATTTATCCAAGGACAAATTTATTCTTAGCTTTTATGTTAGATTTTTCATAATGCCTCTACTTTCTCTTTATTGTTCTCTCTGTCCTTATATCCATATGTCATTCATAACGCTGTCAAGAAGGGATTTCTCAGGCTTAGAGTTGTAGGCCTATTTAATGGTTATCATTAAATTTAATATGCTTACTCAGTACTCTCTGATTAAAACATGAATTGCGTAAGCATCTTGTATTTCTAGGGATCTTCAAGAAATTTTTCTTGTCGGTCCTAAGCCAAAGAACCAAGGATACTGGAACATAATGATCTTACATTAGGGGATAATGGAACCGTATTCCTCAAAATCTGCCTGTTGGGAAAGAATGTTTAGAAATGTTAGCTCTGGTTCGTCATTCCAGAGTGGAAACCACAACTACCATTGCATACTCCTTGGTGGATTTCCTTGGAAATCCAGAAATGAAGTTCTACTCTATAAATAGTAGAGCATCTTTGTTTTTTGTTGTTTATTTGATTGTTTTGTTTTCATATAGAACTCAGTAAATTCTTCTCTGTTTTCTAATATGTGAACAAGAGCTGTTTTCATCTTAATATTTTAAGGTCAGGTATTTTTCAGTTCTATCATTTGGTCTATTTCAAGAAGAATTTGTCTCGAACTGTGATAAGGGGAAGCACTTCAACAGGGAGGATTGTTTAATCAATATTAAAGTGAATTACTGCCGGGCACGATGGCTCAAGCCTGTAATCCCAGCACTTTGGGAGGCCGAGGCGGGTGGATCACGAGGTCAAGAGATCGAGACCATCCTGGTCAACATGGTGAAACCCCGTCTCTACTACAAAAATACAAAAAATTAGCTGGGCATGGTGGCACGTGCCTGTAATCCCAGCTACTCAGGAGGCTGAGGCAGGAGAATTGCCTGAACCCAGGAGGCGGAGGTTGCGGTGAGCCGAGATCACGCCATTGCACTCCAGCCTGGGTAACAAGAGCGAAACTCCATCTATAAATAAATAAATAAATAAATAAATAAATAAAGTGAATTACTGAGGGACACTGGGGAATTTCCATTCATAGTGAATAGCCTGTTGCCTCTTTCACAGAGACAATTGAAGTACAGTCTTGAGTATAGAATTCAATTGGATCATTTAGCCTCTTAGCTTGATTTTTTTTTCAGTTCAGTGATCCTAGAAAACATGTTTCTGTTTGATTGCTTAATGATTCTGGAAACAAGCACCTAATGATACCTATACCTCTATTTGCTTCTTTTCCAAAAATTACACATGCACACGCAAAATGCCTGATCTTGTGTCATATATATTTACTTTAGGAAATAGTGTATATACCATCTTGTTACCTTGTTTGCTAAATCTGTAAGTGATATAAAAGAGGTTCAATAAGTAGTTCCTGCCCTCAGGAACTACTTAAAGAAACCCTGATATATATGGTCATTTTAAGTACTAAAAAGTACCTCATTTTTTTGAAATTAACTCATACTCAAATAGAGAGCTACTTAAAGCTAATATAAGACTTCTCCTAAGTGGAAACATTTGCATCAGTATAGAGGGAAAAAACAGAAATACCATTCCCTTTCTAACCTGTTTAGTAGTTCAGTTCTTTCTCTTTGGCATCAGGGATCTTTAACATGACTCCATGGAGCTTTTTGAACCTGCTACTCTGAAGAGTTTTCTTTTGAGTCCTGGCAGTAATTTCAACTGTAAATGCCTAGAAGAAATGTATTTCTGATTCTTTTTCTAACTTGCCTTTTTTTTTTTTTTCTGGTCTGCTAATGACTCTGTAGCAAAGCTTTTTAGGATTGTGTTTGTAGTGACAGTAGTAAATTGTCTTTAAGGGCTTGAAATTCTCTTCCTGTGGACCAAGGACATGGTACATGTCAGTTTTTCCTAACTTGATCTACAGATTTAATGTATTCCCCATTAATATCCCAGCAAGTTTTTCTGTGGGTGTTGACAAAGTGATCCTTAACTTTATCTGGAGAGACGGAAGACCCAGAAGAACCAACAGAGTATTGAAGAACAAAGTTGGAGGACTGATACTACCCATCTTCAAGACTTACTATAAAGCTGTAGTAATGAATAAGATGTGGTATTGGACAAACAACAGACAAATAGGTTAATGGAAAAGATTATAGGCCCCAGAAGTAGAACCACATAAATGTAGTCAACTGAATTTTGACAAAGGAGCAAAGGTAATAAAATGTAGCAAAGATAGTTTTTTCAACAAATAGTGCTGGAACAACTGGACATCCACATGCAAAAAAGTGAATCTAGACCAGACCTTACACCCTTCACAAAAACTGACTCAAAATGCATCACACATCTGTATGTAAAATGCAAAATGATAAAACTCCTAGAAGATAACATGGAAAATCAAGATGACCTTGGGTGGGGCAATGACTTTTTAGTCTTGATTGTTCCCCAAAGGAACAATCAGAAATCATTGATAAACTGAACTTCATTAAAATTTTTGACTTCTGTTCTGTGAAAGACCCTGTCAACAGAATGAGAAGACAAGCCACAGACTGGGAGAAAATATTTGCGTAAGACTTATCTGATAAAGGACTCTTGTCCAAAATATGCAAAAAACTCTTAAAACGCAACAAGAAAATGAACAATTGATTTTAAAATGGGCCGAAGACCTTAACATATACCTCAGCAAAGAAGACACAGGGATGCCAGATAAGCATATGAAAAGATATTCCATATATGTCATAAGGGAAATGCAAATTAAAACAATGAGATACCACTGCACACCTATTAGAGTGGCCAAAATCCAGAACAGTGACAACACCAAACGCTGACAAGGATGTGGAGCAACAGAAGCTCTTACTCATTGCTGGTGGGAATGCAAAAATGCTACTGCCTCCTTAAAAGACCATTTTGGCAGCTTCTTATAAAGTGCAACACAGTCCTACCATGTGATGCAGCAATTGTGCTTCTTGGTATTTATCTCAAGGAGTTGAAAACTTAGGTTCACCCAAAAACTTGCACATGGATGTTTATAGCAACTTTATTATAATTGCCCAAACTTGGAAGCAACCAAGATGTCCTTTAGTAGGTGAATGGATAAATAAACCCTGAGATATCTGGTCAGTGTAATATTATTAAGTACTAAAAAGAAATGAGCTATCTAGCCAGTGATTTGAAGGAAACTTAAACACATAAAGTGAAAGAAGGCAATCTGAAAAGGCTACATATTGTATGATTCCAACTATGTACATTCTGGAAAAGACAAAGCTGTGGAGACAATAAAAAAATTAATGGTTGCCAGGAGTGAGGGAGTGGCAGAGGGATAAATAGGTGAAGCACAGAGGATGTTTAGGGCAGTGAAACTACTGCCCTAAAAGTATGTAATTGTGAATACATGCATCAAAACCCATAGAATGTAAAATACCATGAGTGAATCCAGTATCTACTGTGGACTTTGGAATTTTTAGGGTATGTAGTAAATCTCTACTTTCTGCTCAGTTTTGTTGTTGACTACTCTAAAAAATAGTCTATTTAAATTGCAAAAAAAAAAAAAAAAAAAGGTGAGCACACTTGTACCTATGAGGTCAAGAGATAAAGCATTACTAGCACTGTAGAAGCCTTCCTCTTTCCTTTCCTTTG